TCATTGATTTGACGTTGCCCATATGCACAGTTGATGTTGCCCATATATCATTTGCTGCTTGGTTGAGGGAGAGTTGCTTCAGGCGTTAGTCGCTGGATTTTTCTTCACAAGGACAGGGGGAAAGGGATGAGAAGGCACGCTTTGGCACGCCCCGTCAGAAGAATGAGCTCATCTCGAGCTGAGGATAAATGAAGCAACATGAAGTTTGAACGATGAGCAATTGGGGTACGGATGAAGGGCTTCCGTAGTCATTTGGGGAGGCGGATAAAGACTTCCGCATGGTGGTAAAATATGACATAGGGTATAAGGGAAGCGGATAAAGACTGCTCTGGTGAAAAAATATGACATACGGGTATATGATGACATCCGTGAAGAAAATAGTGAGCATTGTTGTAGAAAACGAGATTACTGGCATGGAATAATATATAAATCGACAGCAAACTAGCAAAATGAATCATGTTCGAAGTCGGCGAAGGAACGGAATGTATATTCCGAACATTTGCCGTTACAGAGCATGGTAAGCTATGATATGGACATGTAATTTCACAGGATATTGACATTTTTTTAACCTGCAAGCAACTCAGGAGGGAACACTTTCCTAACGTTGATTACAAGGGCGTGGGTGGAAAGTGATTTACTGAAAGCCTTCTTCGAGCCGCCAATCAGAGAATTCTTTCTTTTCATAGTGCGGTTGCTTGCGGGCAAACTTACAGGTGTCACTAGCTGCTGCGTAAAGAGAAAAAATGATTAGTAGCGCTAATGACACTTTATGTTCTCTAGCGAGAATCATTCCACTTTTTCACAAACGCTCTGAACGTCTGAGATAAAGCTGGAACTTTTTCTGAAAGTCTGTTGCAAACATAAACATAAATGATTTTTTTTGGTTTTTTTTCGGTTAGTGTAATACATTGATAAATACGAAATTGTACAAAATTGTTATGAATACAGTATAATAACAGAACACTGAAAACTAAGAAATGAATACCTCTGTGACGAAGCTGGATAAAGATGATCAGTAAATATCCAACTCGCTTCAGTAGTCGAGAATCATCTGGTGGAGCTGCATATTCTCTTTACAAATAAGTAATTAGGCGGAACTGATCTAAGCGCAGACTAGGCAGTATTGTATTACTGCTTGAAGCGAATTCCGCCGAAATCAAGGCAGCTCCCGGCGTCTATATGCCACTCAAGATTAGATAATGACGCTCTAAATCGGCTGGGAAAAAGGGCCTCTGGTAACCTCATGGGCTATCACATAGCCTATGGAATCACCATAGGCAATATAGCCTACGGACTATCCACAGGCGTCTAGATCGCCTGTGGAACTGGCGGCAATTAGAAACGGCTATGGTAATTAAACACAATTACAAAAATTTTGTACATATGTACAGTGCTAGCGTTGGCGATAGAGTCCCTGAGTTTGTGTAAAAAATGATGAAATGAGAAATGATGAAAATAAATGATTGGAAATAATCTGCAAAGTTGTAGGAGAAATTGGTAAAGGATGTCTGAATCAAATTGTATGTAGTGAATAAGTTTTGAGAGAGAAAAATGTAGAGGTTGTAAAGTGAATATGTGAAAATTAGAAAAATGTAAAGAATATTCTAATTAGATAGGGTGGGAAAAGGGGGTGAGGGGGCTAGAGGAAGAAAGAGTAAATATTTACGGTTCTTCACGTGGCATCACGGTAAAAACTGTAAGGAATCACAGCAGATAAAAAATATCATATACCATAATCAATATAGTAATATATTCAATATCTGCTATGAAACAAAAAAAGACTGTCAAATACACAGTAGGTAAAGAATACATGATTATATTCATTACCCACTATGACACAAAAAAATATGACAAATAAGAAAAACACACTCAGACCCGTCGCCTGGACTCAAGGGAAAAGAGAAAATAAAGGGTAAATATAAAAAAGGGCTACGTAATTCACGTGGGAGATGAGGGCTGGTGCCGGTGGTGGGATTAGCAAAGATCTGCAGAATCTATGCTTACTTTTTTTGAGAAAGTTATGCGACAAAATCGTTCAGAAAACACCGGGACCTCCATGTCAAGTTTGAAGAGTTAGCTATTCTCTTAACTTGATCCCTCTACCCTTAGTTTCTTTCCTTTGCACTAACATAACAGTTCTGACTAGATTCTTTTATCATTATAATATAAATATAAATGTGGGGGAACATAATTGGGGAGGGGACCACCGAGCACCCGGGGAGTTGCGAAAGCGTGCCTTCTCATCCCTTTCCCCCTGTCCTTGTGAAGAAAAATCCAGCGACTAACGCCTGAAGCAACTCTCCCTCAACCAAAGCAGCAAATGGCATATGGGCAACGTCCAAATCAATGATGATATCTCAACTGTACATATGGGCAACGTTCAATCAAATCAATCGATGACACTAAATGTATGGACAACGTCAAACGAATCCGATGATGACAACTAAATTACCATGGCAGACTTCAAAAGCTCGAGGACGAGCTTTGCCATGGAACGGACATGTCGAGACGCAGACTAATTAGAGTCCGACAGTCCTCCCGCCGACTTGGGCGGTGCCACCAACTCCAGAGGAGCTGGCACTCCCCGGGTGCTCGGTGGTCCCCTCCCCAATTATGTTCCCCCACATTTATATTTATGTTATAATGATAAAAGAATCTAGTCAGAACTGTTATGTTAGTGCAAAGGAAAGAAACTAAGGGTAGAGGGATCAAGTTAAGAGAATAGCTAACTCTTCAAACTTGACACGCTAAGGGGAGTTCATATCGTGATTCAGGGGGCCGGAATAGCCCCAAATCTGCCAAAACCCCGAAGTTGAAAATCTGCTGAGCCGCTGCCTTTAAGAGGCTTCAATGAACAGGTTTTGTAGTATAGTGCCCAGACAATTGAAGGTAAAAGTTGCAGCCACACAGGACAGTAAGTTTCTTCAAAATTCAAAAAGCAAATTCGCGACTTGGAGTTCTTCTGCTTACCTGGGGTAATTCGAGGCGCTGATTCCAAAAATCGACCTTGAAGAGCGCGAAAATGGCAAATCCACCATTTCCTAAGACCTCCCATTTTGAATTTGGACGAGTGAAGCAGGCCCCGCCAATCGCAAACTCTTCCGCGCGTATTAGAATGGCTTGCGCGTAACGGGGTTTTCTAGGCAAGGGCAGCATGCTGTGCGCTTTGACCTGTTCTGTTTTCATGTTTGGGGTGCAAGCAATCAATCTTCATGTCAAAATTTCAGGATGTTCGGTTTTGGCGAGCCGCTGCGTTTAAAGGCACCATCCACCCAAATTTTTCACTTCCGTGTTTCTGCCGTTTCGGGGCCTTTTCATGTCCTTGATTCCGAATACCAAGTCGAGAATTCGCGAAAACCCAACAATCCTCGTTCCGCAAATCCCACAGGGCGAGTTTTCCGCAACGGTGATTGGCTGGATGCGCAAGCTCAGATGATCGCGGGGGGCAAGCGGCCCGCAAACTCGCGTTTTCTTGCAGGCGGTCAGCAGAATTTTGGGGCGTGGCCAAACCTTCAGCGTGCGGTACCTCCTTTACTGTCGAATGTCTTGCTAGCGGGGCAGAATACAGAGTTTTCTGCGGGCGCTCGTCAAATAATCTCTTTCAGTTAGCGCTGGCCAAACTTTCAGCAAGCGCTCGGACTCTTTTTAACACGTGTCGGACCGGTGCTGCACATGGTGCAGCACGCGGCTTTGAAGGCTCTTTTTAACGTTTACAGGAGGTTTTCTTTTTGTCCAAGGTTATCAAGTCAAAGGCCTAAGCCCCTTCTTTTCAAATGACTTTGTAGAGCTGTGCCGCCTATATTTGTTTAGGAGATATGAGGACAAATCCAACAACAGTTGCAACGAAGTGCGGCAACGCGAACAACGCGTGCGACGTCGCAACTTTCCTTTGCTTCGATTCCAAAGAGAAAAACCGTAGCTTCAATAATGATGTGTACCGTGTAGAACATAAATACTTTTGAATACTAATTGGAACTGAGTTCTTACTCCTATCCTCCAAGAAAACACAAAAGTCCCTCTCAAGCGACAAGACTCAAACGCTTCAAATTCACTCAGAACTTTGGGTATGGAGCTTATATGAAATGCTGATTACAAATGTGGCCCACAGGCTGCGAAATAAGGTCCCTTTGTAGGCTAACGGCTGAAAGTACACTCTTTTTTGCCGCGCGCGATTTCGCGGTCCGAAACGTGTTAACAGTTTCGGGAGTACGTCGAGCAAATGTGAGACTTTTGCTGCAGAGGTGTCATCGATGGTTTAATTACTCAAGTTTGAGGTACTTTCTCTTAGCGGAAAGTACCTGAGGGCTGTGCGGTCCTCCACAAAGGATCGCGCGGCCCCCAATAATTTTGCATATTCTCGCGGAAAGACCGCGAGAATGCGGCCAATGCGCCGCAACTATTCTATAGGAAAACCGCGACAGTGCTCCGAGCATTCGTCTGAAATTTGGTCAACATTCCTCCAAATTTACTGCAAGCGGGCCGCAGGAAATCAGCGAACTATTTTTCCGGTGTCCGCTTGTTCAAAATTCGCATGGCCGCCTGCCCCCCCCCCCCCCCGCGATTATCTGAGAGGATGAACGAACTTCACGCCCACTCAAAGAGGTGGAGCCAACGTGGCGAATGTCATCCAAAGCGATTTTCAAAGCAGTCTTTTTGCTTCGGAAGCAGCTTTTGGCAGCGAGTTGGACAAGTATATAGTTGAAGGCTCTGCTACTATTAGGCATCAAAATCTCATTGACCCCATTTTGAGTGGACGGTGCCCTTAATCAAATTCGTTCAGCATGCTCACTTCCTTCCTATACCAACTTCCAGCACCTTCAAAGTTTGCAAAAAAGAAACCAATACAAATCACAGTAGTAGATGATTCTGAAGATGAATATTACAGTATTCGTAATTCGTAATGATGTATGATAATATATCAATGGCGGTCCGAATTTTTTCGAGGGGAGGGGGCCTCTATTCTTACACCTGAATCAACAGCCTTTGATGCTACAGTTTAGGCCTTTGTCTGCGCAGTCGAGCTTGATCCCGAACATAGTGCCGCGTGGACGAATCTGGGTGTGCTCTATGAAGTGCATGCACAATTCAGCGACGCGCTAGAGTGTTTCCGGAATGCAATAAAGTTCAATCCAGGTAATTTGATTATCGTTTGCATATCTTATTCCTATGATTAGCTCACATCAAGTCATATGGGAGGGGGGGGGGGAGAACGAGCTCCACGCGTCTGCCAACCGGCAGTAAAATAATGCTTTGCTGTATTTTGGGTGAGTGCTACTCAGACAGTTGGAGCAGGCAACGCGCGCGCAGTCACACGGTGGCGCAACACCCAGTGCGCGGGTGCCGGGACATTGGATGCCGCGCCGCTGGTGCTGGCCCTCGGATGGCTGCTTTTTTTCAGTTTTTCATTGCGCTGTATACCACAGGTCTTGATAATGAATTCCACTCTTCATACGCCAACAAAAATTCACATCCAGCATCCATTTGCAAAGCTACCGAAGGCTAACGCTTGGAAGCAAAAAACAACTTCCACTTCTGCGATTATTCATACACTACGATGTAATATCTAACTCTTGAATGATGAGGCAGTCTGACCACTGTGTCGTACACTGCGCGGGTATCCCTTGTGCTTACAGCATGTGGTGATTGCAGGCGCGCGGGCCGCACGGGTAGAGTATAAAGGCACGCGCGCGGCGTGCTACAAAATTAGGCGCGCGGGTGGCGAGATCGAACATAAACGTAGCGCGCGGGTCGCGGTGTTGGCATTAATACGCGCGCCGCACGCACCAAATATCTAGGATGGCACGCGTTTGGCGTAGTGCCGGACACGCCCACAAATAAGGCACGCGCTTTGCCGCACTGACTATAAACGCGCGTGCGCCGCACGCTCCAACTGTCTGAGTAGTTTTTGGCGAGCGCTGGCCGAAGATAAGCATAAAAGTTCTCTCCTTTCAATAGGGTATGCTTTGCCTTCGGATAAAATTGGTCGAATAATCAACCCCTGCACTTGTTACGATCGTGTTAGGATTTATATTGTGCATTTAAGTTCTTGATATTGGATCCTCCACCCTCCCCAAATCAGGGCGGGCGGTAGCGAAATCATTTGGAACGGGTTCTAGGCTTTGTAAATACACATTTACAGAGCATAGAGCCCGTTCCAAATGCGCTTTGAAACCAGCCTTTTGCTCGAATTCTACCCTCCCTCTCATCCTAGAACTTGGCACACAAGGGCAACAAGCAAAGCAAATCTCGAAGGCAGTGTCCGGGCAAGACTCAACTTTTAGACTTTCTTCGTCTACCAAGACTTACTCGCTACGCGGAATCCGAAATCACTTTGAGGAGCGTGAAAACGATCAGAAGAAGTTTCCACCAAAATTTTGCATTTCGAAATTGGAAGGGTGAAAGAGTGCGCTAACGCTAAGATGCAGAGTCGCTGAGACCTTGAAGGCAGTGTCCCGGCAGATTCGTGCCCTGGGGTGTATTGCTAAGGTGGGATTCTTGGTCATCCCACTGACCTCCTGGCGCAGTCTGGCTAGTTGGTGTTCCCTGGGCTGAGAAAATCGCGTTAAACTACTGGGTTCAACTCACAGGGTTCGTTTCGTGAATACCAGTCTCTCGGTTATTTCTTCGATCGTTGCTGCTGAATAACGCTAAGAAGACTGAAAGCAGAGCAACTTAGCAAGTGTTGGGAGGGGGGCTATATCACTTGCGCTTCAAAGTCGGTAATATCCAGAGCATACTTTCTAACGCGCTCTGGTGATGGTCGACTTCGCAACAAGTAATCTCCTAGTAGTTACTCTAACTCCTCGCGACATGCGCAACATTCTTTAGCCTTGCAGAGAGTTTTCTCCAGCTAACTTGGCTGCTCTTTTGTGCTAATAAGTATGGACTTCAGCTAGAGAGTCATGCATATCGAGAAAAATATGATCAATACGAAACCTCTGGAACAAAAAAAAAATACTCGCGCACTCTTGTACTGGACAAAGTTAAGGCTAGCATTGGTTTATAGTGTACACAGTATTTGTAAAATGCCCAAAGATGGAGATCTAGGTCAGAAGAGAAGTGGACCCACAAGCAAAAGCTATCAATGTAGCCATCTTGTATCAGGAGTTTGAGAACCCAAGCCTTTTACATTAGAAGGACCTTTTCTGAAAGGAGGATATCAAATTTTTCGAATAAGCAACTGAACGCTTTCTCCAACAGCCAGGATATCCAAATACATACATGTACTTTTCTACTTTCGTCTGCCATCATTTCGACAGAGTTGTTCATTCCAATTACTGTGATCTTATACATAAAGCTGAATGTCTGTTTGTCTGTATGTATGTATGTATGTATGTATGTATGTATGTATGTCTGTATGTACGTATGTTCCGAATAGAAAATTCCATTTCTGAACCGATCCGGACCAAACTTGGCACACATACGCTACGGGCCCCGGCGGGTGTCATAGGCTACTTTTCGTCATCTGTCGTATTTTATCGCCAGTACTAATCATTTTCCCATTTTCCCAAAATTTCGAAGGGTAAGGGCATGTATTTATTACGAGGATACCTAACTTATGTTACCCTTAGGAAGCTAAATTTGGCGCGAAAATCCTTCATAACTTCTTTCAGAAAAACGATTAGCAGGAAAGGATGTCAGATTTGGGCGTTCAAAGACGAGTGTAATAGCGTACATCTTGTTTCAAAAGCCACGGACACCTAGTATCGTTCCCTTGAGTTTGTAAATGACTCATTGTTACGTAGACCTCTGAGGGCCCAACGGCTCAGGTCACTTTGCGATAAACCTGGGATAAATAGGAGGTAGGCGCTTGTCCACAGCAGATTTGCCATAGGAGTCTTTGCAATTCGACTGCAGATTTGACATGGAACTCTTTGTAGGAATTCGCGTCTATCTTCCTGACGCGTTATTAGCGCTTTCAGTTTTTCTAGCGAGCAGTCCACCCTCATGTCTAGCGATGTGTTTGTAAATGACGGGGGGCTGTGACAGTTGCAACGACTGCCAAATCTGTTCTGTTGGGTTTACCGGCTCGGCACAAATGCGGCGTCGAAGAAGGGGCGCCCGATCAATAATGCCTTGGCTTACCCACGGCGTTCGCAGTGTTTCATGTACTATTTCTTTCGAATTTTGTGTTTGTTATCTAACCCTTTTCCTACAAACTGCAGAAATTTTTGGTTTACGCTAAATTAGTCATGATCAGCATCTTGATGATCGCTACTATGTAACATTCTTTTACTTGTCACCCTGTCGAGCCTAGCATGTTTGCTCCGTGAAGGTACATGTTTTGATCACGTTTTCTCAAAAGAAAGGATAAAAGCCGAAGATGCCCCTACTGGAGCTTGTGTCGGAGTTGTGGTGACACTTCTGCTTTGTTGGATTACATATACCATCTATTCATATTATTTTATTTTATCTTCTTCTACGATCACGAGATGCGAAGCCGCATCGCGGACGTTGTCTTAACAAGTTTAAGTTTGCTCTTCCCTGTTTCCAAAGAGTGATTAAAAACCTGGACGAGATAAATGACAAGTATGAACCTGCTAAGTACACGACTAGGCTTGTTTAGACAATGTGTGCAATGCGGTCGCGCGTCTCCTGGTCATAGAATGAATGATATGTGTGTATATAATAGCAAAAATCAGAGATATTGCGATCCAGTGATTTCCGCATTTTACCACAGTCGTTTTTAGCTGCTCCGGAACCATTGAAAGCTCGAATCGTTGTTCTGGAGAAGGAACTTCACACAACCACTCACTTCCTAAATGCCCGGACTGCGCCGGCTAACTCGTACGTGAAAACGCTTTTCTCTCTGTTTCTTTATCACAATCAAACAATGCTTCATTTTGTTAGTTTTGCTTTACATGTAAACTTCCTTGTTCCGGAAATATGATACTATATACATTTTCGTGAACGTCCATAGTCTTTAAAACAAGTTTCTCGCTGTGCAAAGGCATTCTTGAAGATCGTTCCGGCTTCCCTGCTTGAAGGACGCCTGGGGTCAGCCCATACCATCTGAACTGAGAGTGAGGCAGGAGGATTTTCTAAAGGTTCTTGTCTTTTGCTTTCTGCTTTATCTGCATCTTTGCATCACCAAATATATCTTATATTCAAGCAAAAACAGCAGCGATACAGGGACGGTAGTGCAATCTGGAAGATGGGGGAGCTCGCAGCTCCCTTGGATGGAGTTCAGGTATATCATATCATTATTCAATTTTTCTGCAAGAAGCCGTTCGAGTTTTGCAGAAGCAGTCATCAGTGACGCCGTTAGAAAATACACAGCTCCAAATGATGAAGTTACTGCAGATGAATAAGGATAGGATTAATGAACAGGAAAAGATGGTCCTTGAGCAGTTAGAGTTGCGATATCGAGATAGTGTTGTGAGTGTATGACTACATCGATTTTTGTTTGATTACGAACTCTTTAGAGTGGATCTATTGAGTCGTTGATGTTCCCACGTCCCACAACGGGGTTACCAGTATTTAATGAGTCCGATCTTGATACGGTAAAACGAGGAGGTCACTTGATGTTACCCAAGAATTTGCCTGTGAAAGAAGAAGGTGGGAACTATTTATATTCACAATGTATGTATCTTTTTCTGAATACTTACTCAAGAAGATTCGAAAATACAGTCATGTTCCAAGGCATTTGCAGCGTCTGTCTCATTCGAATTGTTATAGAGAGAGATATTTCTTTTTTTGTGTTCATAGTGTTTATTTGCTCAGAGTGTTTCAGTTTTTTTGGTTGATTCAGTCATATATAACACTGAAAATCTTGGAAGGTTTTTGAATATATCTAAATTGCTTGGGAGGTTTTTGAATGTATCCAAATTGCCATGATTGAGACCTACTTTTGAGTATGCGAGAACGATAGCTAGGGGAGTTAGAGGAGGCATCCGGCCAAACTTCTGTCGCTTTTCTAAGGGAAATCTCATTCAGCTTCGAACTCGTCAATTGTGTGTGATAGACCAGGACAGAAGCTTCGACGTTTCCGTTTATTGATTTTCTGCCTTTTTCTTAAATTCATCAAATGCAATCCATGTTGTCTGAAAGCTCTCAGCGGTTTTCTACCGAACTGAGGCTCAGTTTATAGCGTTGAAGAGGAGGCTGGCGTCAGTTTTGGTAAAGTCAAAGTGGTGTAGATAACAGCGGATAGATTTGACAAGCGAAATCGGCGTGAGAGCTTCCATATTCTTGCATAACATTAGTACATCCTTGTATTCCTGGGTCCCCTTTTCCAAAGCTTAGGCGTTGTCCTTGAAATATATCTTGCCGCAAAGGTACTGACACAATCAGTGTGCAGCAAGGTAAGCTGCTCCACGGTGCAGTCCTCTGCTTCTTGGGTGCATGTTGAGTGCGAAAACCATGCAAAAATTGCTTTATCTTAGGTTTAGTATGTCAAAAAACGAATCACCTCAAAAACAAAAAATTATCTCAAATGTTTCAACTTATGATAAAGATCTGTACAATATTTCTGAGGAAGTTTATATTTGAAACATCTGCAAATGGGTTCGTAATTTAAGAGTAGCCAAATAATAAGGGCATAGATGAGGGGATCAGTTTGAGTTTAGTGGCTACCTTTGACCGTATCAGTGATGATCAAGGTCCACTAAAACCAAAATTTTACTTGATTACAGTGTCAATGGCTTCCTAATTTCTTGTCCGTAGTCGGTTTTGATTATTTATCTCTTTAATCCCAGAGAGTTTTTTTTTATTTTTTTTTCTTCTCTATTCTCTAATATCCTTCAAAAACTCCTTTTCCTCAAGGATATTTCATTGCTTTTGTGACTTGCTTATGTGAGAAAGACGAACTATCTCTTGTAAGCGCTATTCAAGGTTTAAAATTTGCTGGATTAGGCAGATGCAAGCAAAAACCGTTTGCATCAATAGCTGACAAGAGAAATCTTTTCAGTCGAGGCCTTTTCAGATGAGTTCCACACCAACTTGAAAAGCATTGAACGATGAGATCGAATCTGTCTTGATTATCTGCCAAACCCTTTTGGACGTTATAGGCATTTTTTGGGTTGAACATTGATGTGCGTCTGAAAGAAGAAACTCGTCAAATTTGCTGAAATGGTCCAGTATCAATTCAGTGCACTTCATTCCATGGACAACTTCTGTCTAATACACTCAAGCTATACTTGCGCTAGAAAGACCACAACATTTCACTTAGGTTCTGCGTTCATTTTCCGCTCCGAAAAGCTCGTAACTCGGCTTCGAAAGGTGCTTGGCTTAAAACGCAGAGTCGTTATAGGATCATACATCTAGGACAGCACCCTGCTTATCAGTTTGATTGTAAACAGGTTACCGAGAAAGCGGTTTTCGCGTTTCAGAAACAAATTGATGCAATGTGACTTAGCTGGGACCTCACGCGATTTCAGTCGTGACGCGATTTGGCACTACTCCAGTTCTTCATGACTCAACGTAAGGGGTTTCTGAATGTAGTAGATAGGGCATTTTATCATCCTGCGGAAGTGCATGCAGCGCATTTGGAGTGTACCAGTATTGAACTTGAAGACATGCGGCAAACTGCCAGATCGCGTGGCGAAATCGCGTGAGGCCTCGGGCAGAGTCCACGCGATTTGATCGTCGCGATTGAATCGCTGCAAGACAAATGTAACAACATCACTGCATGTCGATCTTCTCGCATTTCGTTTGTGATAGTTTTTCAACACGACTAATCGCGGCTAACTATCACAACCGAAATACAAGAAGATCGGCATGCAATGAACTCGTAACACTTGTCTTGTAGCGATTACATCGTGACGATCAAATCGCGTGAACTCTGCCCAAGGCCTGAGGTATGCCCAGGGCCTTAGGAGGGCGGTCGGGCAGGAGGCAGCAAAGGCTCGCCGATTCTGCTCATGGAAGTACCTGGGGAATTTCAGACTTCCTCGCGCCTCTGATTACTTCTTCGCACTTCTAATTACTTAATATGACCTATGCCAAACTGATCGTTGATTTTTCAAAGCGTGGCAAGTTTTGAGATAGCTTTTATGTTTTGAATCCATGGCAAATAAGATAACAAGTTCAAAAAGATTCAGAGATAGCCATTCAATGTCAAATGATTTGAAAGTATGAAATGGTCTATTCAATCTCAAAACCAGAATCTCAAACATATAAATCTTTCTCAGTTATTCCGATCGAAGACAAGGACTTTGAAGACTAATTGCACTCCTTTACTCTGCTGCAGAATCACTTCCTTCTGTTACGCATTTTGGAGTAAAAGCCCTGAAACAGATATTTAAATAGGCTAAGAACGATTATAGCTGAGATTGAAAGAATTGCAAGATTCTCGAATTGATCCAGGGTGACATACTCTTCAAAAGCATTTTGGTCTAATCCTCTAGCTAGTAAAATCATAGGTGCGAAAAGTGATTAGAGGCGCGAGAAATCTGAAGCTCCCCAGGCACTACCAGAAGCAAATGCGGTGAGCCTTTGCTGCGTCCTGCACGACGTCCCCTTAGGAGCTGTCTTAGAACGAACGTCGTTATACTTTACATTTTCCGTCATATCTGCTCGGTCATCAAGGTGTGGTGCAGAGGAACCAACGGGCTGCCGTCTGTACCCGCAGGAGGTAATTAAGAGCGCGAGCACTGGAGAATATTTTGGCAAGGATCCAAGAAAACTTGGCAAGGACGTCCTTAGGAACACATCTTCATTACTTTGCCTGGAGATGACCTTGAAAAATTTGAAGAACGGATTTGTAACGCAAATTGGAAGGCGCATTCACTGGGCCTAAAAGTGTGAAAATTCGGAATTTACTGGTAAGAAAAGTCGTCATCTTCCTCATAGAAACCTTTTGTTTTATGAATTTTGAAGTTTCAAATTGTTTTCAATTTGAAACAGAATTTCATTGAAAATTCCTTTTTTTTTGAGATTAAGGAATTGTTTGCCTTGTGAATCCTTTTGAATCAACGCAAAGCAATCAAAATGCCACAACACATCTAAAGGTTTGTGTCAAAATGCTATGCACTTTGTCTCATAACTTCAAAACTATTCTAATTCCAAATTTTGATACTAACCGTAGGATTTGCCATTGAAACTATGTCGCTTATCCTTCCGAGGCTATACACAATAGCAAAAGTTCATTACATGCAACTTAGTTTACATTATTTCCTGATTACTACTTCCTACTTCGCTTGAAATCTTTCACACAGTATTGAACTTGAAACTCCTCAGCTTTTGATGGCGAGTTTTGAAGTCACAATTCTTGGTGAAGATTTTATCTATCCGGTAGGCGTATCACTGAAAAATGCGCATTTCAATGCTGACTTCATATCTGTCCTTCGTATCCCTAAAAGTTAACTCCAAGAAGAGTTATAAAGGTTTGTTTCTAATGGCTGTCCTCGCCAAGTTTCCCTGGACCCTTGCCAAAATCTTCTCCACAGTGCTAGCGCTCCTAATTATCTCCTAGACTACAGGCGGCAGGCTTTTGGTCCCTTCTGCATCGCATCCCGGCCATCAGATGCGACCTTACCTCGTCGTCCAACATATCCTAATTACACATAAAATCCTCAGGTAACCAGGGGGCTCCTTCGTGACCGGAATTTTGAGTGAATCTGCAACTTAAGCAACTCCGTTTTTTGATTAAGTAACAAAGGCGAGACCTGCTCTGTGCACTGATAGCTGATCATTGAACATACTGCTCAGTGACGGTACTAGGGGGAGAGGGGGGGGGGGCAATGGGTCGCGAATTCAAAAGTTACTCACATGGTTATAAAAATGTGCAAGTGGCTTGTTTATGCTTGTAAATAATAAAAATAATTGAATTTTTTGAAAATCCAATTTAGCTTCCAAAGAATCATTCCCAGGACGGTTTTTTCTGATTCTTTGGAGTCGTAGGCCTGCAGAAGTTGTGAGAAGCATTTCAAAAATTTTTGAGACTGCGTGGCTGACGCAGCGCACCTTCATTGGGAAAATTTCTTGCCTCCTCCCCCCCCCCCCTCTCCAAATGGAAATCCTGGACCGCCACTGATACTGCTTTGCCGAGTTCTACAGTTTGTGAGTAGTCAAGTGAATTAGGGCATTTTTGAAGTACTTTTGTTTTTGGGGCTGGTCAGACTTAGCGGATAAACGAGCCAGTTTGACATGGACTTTACCGTTCTCTTACCGTCATCCAGTACCCTACTTGACACTTCAAATCTTTTCAGTGACGGATGAGTTGTCTCTCAAACAAAGTCATGAAACAACAGGAACGTTGGGCGATTTGCCGCATTCATTCAGGTTCCTTGCGAATCATATGACTTTTTTTTTCTTTTTTTAGATCAACATCGGTTGAAGTTTGTATCTTGCAGCCTTCTTGCTCCTCTACTTGTTCCACTCGACATATCTTCAACGGAGTTAATGGAGATGTGTTCGAAGCGGATAGATCGTCCTTCAGAATTCCAAAGTCTGTTCTGTGAGAAAATATCTCCTCCTCAAGCACCGAGTGCGCCGGAACTCAAATTGAGGGTAAGCATTGAATAATTTTTCTGCGCTTCATGAATAATCTGTTTGATCAGTGTTCCTCCCCGCCTTCTATGACGTCCCTTCTTCGCCCAACTCCTTTAGTGGTTGTTGAATCAAGAAAAGATGCACAAGCACCTGAGCTGCAAAGGTAGTGTTGATCATACTTTTTTATCGGTGAAGGTTTCCGGAAGTTTCATAGTTATATGGATTGGAGAAGGTTTCCAGCATACAATGTAGTCATTCATACTTAGGTTCTGTGAAAGTGCTCCGATTGCGCTTATCAGAGGACTTACGGGAGTACTGAAAATGGACTTGAGCTTGTTTTCCACTAAAACACTCTTGGAAGTTGCTCCAGAACACGAAGTGGAGGTTTGAAAATGATATATTATTGCTAATATAAATTGTGGCGAATATTTGTTACACGAGTACAGGTTCGAACACAATATAAGATGCCATGCGATGTCAATGTCGATCATTTGGGTCATCCTACTTGGGAATGTATGAGCACTCGGTCTTACACTACAGTCATGAAATATGCTCAATATCAAGCCGAGACCTTCAAGCACTCGTTAAAAGGTATCATCTATTTGTATTTAAGACATCTGCATGATTGGGAGATCCATCAAAAGCTAGCTCCGCCGCTTTTGGAAATTTTCTCACAATTTAAAAGTCTGAGATTTAGTCGATTGTACGCTATCAGTATAGAGCAACGATGAGGTACAGTGTTGCACTATGTAAACTCAATATAAACTCTAATTGTTGACGATTTTAGCTGTCGTCGCATTTTAGTCTGCCATTCATCTCCAAACTGCTTGCGAAGTCGTTGATTTCGCGCAAACAGACAAATTTGTAAAAATCCGCGCTGAAAGTTAAACATCATCATTGATCCATTTGCTTTTTCGACCACTATTGCACTGACTCTCAGCTTTTTTTTATACAGCTACATCTCACGTGAAACATTGGCAACACTTACGACCTGTCATCATATACGTGACTAGCTGGCTTACCCGGCTCCGCCGTATCCGGACCAAACTTGGCACACATACACTTCGGGCCCCGGCGGGTGTCACAGTCCACTTTTCGTTATCGATCGATGTCGATTTTACCGATTTTTATCGATTTTTTTTGCAGAGTTCACCTACAGGGCTAGGAGTTGGCACAGGGGGGGGGGGAAGTGAGCATGGGGATTCCGAATACAATATTAGTTTTCAGAATTATCGATTACTTTTATTGATTTTATCGATTTTTTGTAAATTTTGACATGCGAGGCTGGGATTTTGCACAGGGGGGTAATCGAGCATGCTGATTACGAACACAATATTAGTTTTCAGGATCGTCCATTACTTTTATCGATTTTATCGATTTTTTTGTAAAGTTTGACCTGCGGGGCTGGGAGTTTGCACAGGGGGGTAATCGAGCATGCAGATTACGAATACAATATTAGTTTTCAAGATCGTCCATTACTTTTGTCGATTTTTATCGATTTTTTGAAAATTTGAGCTAGGGGGCTGGAATTTGGCACAGGGGGGGGGTAATCGAGCATGCTGATCATCCCCAAGGGGGATGATCAGCAAAAAATCGATAAAATCGATAAAAGTAATCGATAATCTTGAAAACCAATATTGTATTCGGAATCCCCATGCTCGATTACCCCCCTGTGCGAACTCCCAGCCCCGTAGCTCAAACTTTGCAAAAAAATCGATAAAATCGATAAAAGTAATCGATAATCCTGAAAACCAATATTGTATTCGGAATCCCCATGCTCGATTACCCCCCTGTGCCAACTCCCAGCCCCGTAGCTCAAACTTTGCAAAAAAATCGATAAAATCGATAAAAGTAATCGATAATCCTGAAAACCAATATTGTATTCGGAATCCCCATGCTCGATTACCCCCCTGTGCCAACTCCCAGCCCCGTAGGTGAACTCAGCAAAAAAAAATCGATAAAAATCGATAAAATCGATATCGATCGATGACGAAAAGTAGCCTATGACACCCGCCGGGGCCCGTAGCGTATGTGTGCCAAGTTTGGTCCGGATCGGTTCAGAAATGGAATTTTCTATTCGGAACATACGTACATACAGACATACATACATACATACATACATACATACATACAGACAAACAGACATTCATGGTATGCTGACTTATTCCTTCCCCCCCCCCCCCATTCGAAACTCCCGGCCTCGTAGCTGAAGTTTGCGAATCGGTGAAAATAAAATAAAAGCGAAGCAGTCGATATTTTTGGAAACATTATTGCATGCGTAAGTAGCATGCTCACTTACCTTCCCTCCTGTGCCTACTACTTCCACACATTCAGAGAATACTAAAGCCTATGTTGATCGATAACGGGGAGTAGCCCATGACATCTGCCCGCATTGAATTTCTGTCCGCGTCGATTTGTTCGCACATGTATGGAAACCCGCAGGCATTCAGCTTTGTGTATAAGATGCTGAGCAACCCTTCTTATGAGGTGCAAAAAAGTAGATAATGAAAATTCTTTATTTTCGAGGTATGAAGTTTCTGCTGAACTTTTGCCTGGGCGGGTGAGCCGATCATAGAGCGTGCTTATATATATCCTTACATCTGGCTTTGAAAGGGCGTAGGGTTCCCTTCCGCTTCCCTCGCGCGGGGGCAAAAAGTCTGACCTCCACATATTATATAGCCCTCGTATGGAGGGTCGAATTTTGTTCATTGCAGAAGTTGTAAAAAATTGATTGTGGATATGTGTTTGCAGCTAAAAAGGTTTACACAACCTTGCCAATTGACACCATACGAACGACACGCGTTCCTTTTCAATACCTCAAACTTGGGTAATTGAACCATGACGGATAACTGTCAAATAAGCAAACGTAAAAGGGTGTTTAAAAAATACAGAGTGTCTCAAAAAATGTGAACAATGTTTGATCGTTAATAACTCTTTCGCTTTCATGTCCTTTGCCAAGTGTAAGGCTCCATTCTGTAGAGCGAGGTTCAACTTAGATCTGCAATGTGGAGCGAATTTCCATCGCTCTTCGTTAATGTAGGATTACGGTAAGAACTTTCAGCATGTGGCACTGTCGTGAAATATGCCATTTGACGCAATTTTTTTCAAAAAAATCTGGAAAATCGTTTCCTGGGGTTTTTGCTCACGCTGATTCCGCTACACAACTTTTTACGAGTGTTTTCAGCTGTGAATTCACTTATTACAGCTTACCTTCGATAACTTTGGAAAGAAGCATCACAGTGAAGTGGGAATTTTATATTTGAAAGCAGCAGCCTCCGTTACCAAAGTATAAGAGTTTTGGCTTGTTTGGTTTTGCTCCGAGGCAAGATATTGCCTCCAACGGCCTAAAATTCTTGTCGAAGTTCCTAGCGCAATCCTACAGTAATGAAGAGCGATCTATGATTTGCTTCGAACTGTAGATCTAAGTTGAACCTTGCTCTACATGTTTTCTCAACCTTGGCGAAAGACATGAAAGCAAGGGAGTCAATAAATCCAGCGTCAGGCAAATCTGGACATATGGAGATCTCACGTGGGTAGTAATTTTGGGGTAATTTTGGGGGCTTAACTAAGCCATTGGCCAATCAGCAGCTCAGGTAATGCTCTAACGGCTGAGATATTCCCCTCGAAACTGGACCCCAGGATCGTGTCTCGCATGGATTCATGGCGCAACCTATCAGTTTCGCTTGGGTCCTCACGCAAAACTGATGGGTTGCGCTATGAATCCAGCGGAATACGATCGTGGGATCCAATTTGGAGGCGTATATCCCAGCCGTTAGTGAGTCAACTGTGCTGCCGCTTGTGCATGCCGCAAAATTACTGGGGCCCTAAAGTTACTTTCCACGTTGAATCCCCATAGGTTTAGATTTGCCTGGACGCTGCCTTCAAGAATTAAGTGTTCACATTTTTTGAGGCACCCTTTACAAATTAAAATCATTCAAATGAAGGATTCTACACACAGGAAAGGGAAGGATTATTGAGTGAGGCAACACAAACAAGTAGGTGCCAAAAATGCATGGTTAACGATAAGTACATATTCACCAAGTACAGTCAATAAGTACAGTTCACTTATTAACTCCACCATACTTCTGCAGCTGCAATCGCCTTTATTAATAGCCGAGGCCGTTTTCACAAAGGGAATGTTGCATCTGGCATCGAGGATTCATCCTGTGGCATTTTGTGGCATACTTTTCTCTCTACAAGCATCCAAAAAAAATAATCGATCGCACTGCGATCTGCGAGAACGTGTCGGCTGGCGCTCGTGCAGTCATCTTATTGCATTCCACATATTTCATGCAGATTGCGCAATTGCAGCGCCATCCGATACTTTTGGCCACGGCAAAATGCAGTTCTGGATAGTCGAATAGTGGGAACATCATCTAACGTGTGGCTTCAAAGCAGGGTCAAGCGTGTTGATGCGATCCGGGACCCTCATTTACCCTCATTTCCGGAAGCAGAATTTCTAGGCCAATGGATGCGCCCAGCATCTGTAGCACACATACACACCTTCAATAATGTTTGAGATTCTGCAAGTTTTTTTTTTTTTGAATTTTCAGGCATATTTCAGACCAGCAAATGCGAATCCCGTATGCGACACAAATTTTTGCACGGGGAAAAAATGACATTATTGAACTACAAAAGATGTTTTCGACTAAGAAGCTTACTTTCTACCTCTTTCACAGTTTTTTCCGCGGAAAAAACAGCTTTAGCGCCGTCCAGAACGATGCCAATAAAGTGCATGAGCACGGTAGTTTGAAAATTCGTAACTAAAGCCAGGAAAAGACTAAGAGGTTGGAAAGCACAGGTTCTGTAGCGCGGTGCCCAGACTATCCATAGGAAAAGTTTCAGCCCTTGAGGAGCAGCAAGCTCGAAAAAATTTAGATGCGACTCTCGCAAATTTAGATGCGATCCTAAAAAGCAAAAACTGGGATTTTTAAGCTTAAGAATTCGTAACTTACCAGAGAAGCTATAAAACAGCCTGCAATTTTTATGAGGGAAAGTAAGAGGATGGCCTCATATTAAAGCAAAATTGCAGCCAACAAGCTTCTATAGCTCCGGAGAAATTTAGATGAGGCGCAGATATGACCCCCCCCCCCCTTTTCTCATTTTTTGCTAACATACATAAAATCATAAGAAAATCCACAGTTAACAAAATGACACCAAATTTTGCGTTGATATAGCAGAACATCTCCAAAGTACAGATAAATCATATGGTTCCGTCAAAAACATTACAAAAAGATTTAGAAATTCATGATGGTCACAGCTGATAAAGATATTCGCTTTTGTTGAGTGTGTGAAGCTTCAGGAAGGCTTCAGAAGCAAGATTTCTAGGACAATCGGTACATTTAGCATTTTTATCAACTCATACATCCTTCAAAAGTGTTTTGAGCTCTTGTAAATGTTTTTCTAGGAGAATTTTTACACATTTTTATCTCTTCTATTCTGATTTCCACTTTTTTGTAGATATATTGTAAAGAACATAACTAATTATCTGCTTTTTGATTCCCTTTTAAGCTTAGGGTATTTTAGCCTAACTACCTCCTCTTACGACCCCCCCCCCCCCACCTTAGGTAACCTCTTTACGACCCCCGTTG